CATAGTAATATGACATGTGCATATGATACCAAAATTGAAAATGATAGAATCAGAAATTTTTAAGTTCCTTCACATTGAATAAGAAGAAGAGCTTAATAATGTTACATAATTATAGATGACCTTACATGTATGAAGCTACATGTAGATATTTTTAGTTTAATGTTCACCTTTGGAACTTACCGTGTACAAATTACAAAAAAAAAGAACAAACATGATGAAAAAGCCAGGTTTACGGTTTACATAATTTCTACATAGTACTTAACATATAATATTATGTTTCCATGTGCAACTTTTTTTTTTACAGCTGGCAGCCACTGCCTTGTAATCAGGGCATCTTCTAAGCATGAAAATCACAGGTGAAAATGATTTCAGACAAGAGCCAGTCTCTTTTAACACATGTAGAAAACAATGTGTTTGTTGTTGCTATATTCTGGGTTATTTAGAACCAACACTCCCTATTGCTATATTCTGACACTATTGAAAGGTGTTCCACGAGGAGCTCCCTGAAAATGTTGACAACATTATTAAGATCACAGCGTTCTTGTAACGCAACTTTGAAAACACTACCTGGTTGATGTTTCAGTAACTCCTCAGCTACCTTGATCAGGGGCTGAATGGATAGTGGTTCGTTGATCATTGATAATGAAAATTTCAGCTTGATAGCATTTAAAGCTGTGTGGCGTCCTGAGGCGTGAGATCGAGAGGTCGCGGGTTCGACTCCCGACATTCCTGGCTAGACCTAGTGTCCTTTGGAAAGACACTTTACACGACTTTCCTCGCTCCACCCAGGTGTAACTTGTAAAATAGGTACATAAATAGGTAAAAGGCAAGGAGAGGGATGGGCTCTGCCTTCCAATACCGTGTCCTAAGACACAGTGGATCAAAAACCCACTGCCCCTACGGCCTCAAAAAGGCTATGGGACTATCTTTTACTGTCCAGTCAGTCCCTGATGAAAAAAACTGATGAGGAGTTATCAAAATAACCACCAGGTAAATGTTCTCAAACTTGTGTTATAAGAACCCTATGTTCCTAGTATTATGATACTCTGCAAATGCAGAAACCAGTGAATGATGATGATCATCAGCAATCTGATGAAGCTAACAGCATTTTAACGTTATCAAGATCTAGACGCACGTTCTTGAGTAACTCACTGGCGCTGTGTACACGTTGTACGGTTAAGGCTGACACTTTTCCGTGGTTATATGTACAATCTTCTTGTCCTGTAGCTTCAGCAACTGTACAAATTCTGACGACATGGAGTGGCCGCTACTCTGGTAGCCTTTGTCGTAGTAGTGGTACGTCACGTTGTTCCCCTGACAGTTGACGTCAAACGGCCAGAAACCATAGAGGTGAACCTCCTGACAATAAGAGATCGCGGCGCTGGCCAGAAACAAACCTAGGGAAAACAACAAACAAGGGGCACATACAGGATGGTGGAAATGTCTTAACCTTCAGCCTACCAAATTTGTATGTTTAAAAAGTTAGGCAGCAGACATGTACTTGATGCACACTCATGAAAGTTCTCTTCCCAGCTGAATTTGTTCACTGGTGGAGTGCTTACTTTGCATGTAATACATAGGTCTTATTTGTTGTATAACATGTTATGAAGGAGAAGGAAAAAATGATTGTAACAATAGAATATGGTAATGATAGAATACTGTCACAGTAAGTTCATTTATTTGGGGAGGAGGTACTAGTAAGTTGATTTGATTTTGTGGAAGAATTTAGGAAAAGGAAAAGTTTTGTTCATTGGCACTGTTGTGTAGTAATACATAGTACAATGTACATTGAATTTCATGCTGTCACGAATTTGTGAAGAAAATTCATGTTGCAAACACTGCAACTGCAAACCACTTCAAACATTTCAAGACTTGCAGTAGTTGCATCATGAAAACAAAAACTAAGCTGCTACACAGGGTAATTTTCCTACTGACCAGTGGATAGTCTCTTCCCCTGTGGTAGTCCCTGGTCACTCCAGTATTTCCCCAACATCCGCAGGTGGTTTGGGTGGGGAAACACAACTCTCTGTTGGGCATTCGCACCCTAAGGAAAACAACACATTTTCAGAGATACATTATATACTATATTACTAAATTGTCTGTTACATGGTTTATTTTTTTCCTAATTCTTCAGCAAGCATGTAGCCAAGGCTGCTTATCTAGCTAGCTAGTACCAATCAATCAATCAATCAACCAATCAATCAACCAATCAATCAACCAATCAATCAACCAATCAATCAACCAATCAATCAATCAATCAACCAATCAATCAATCAGTCAATCAATCAACCACGCAATCAATCAAGCAGTCAATCAATCAATCAATCAATCAATCAATCAACCAATCAATCAAATCTTATTGCAAACACAATTGCAGGTGCAATGCATGGTAAATTTCCAAATGTTATAGCCAAAGTAGCCAACATACTAGGCTGATAAAATTCTGAAGCAATCATATCAATCAATAAAAACATCCGTAACACCTAAAAGGGTTATAATTAGACAAGGACTTTCTGTAAACAGTTGTAGTCGCCATTCATGATCATATCCTGACTGAAACATTCAATCTTTTTTTATGTGCAAAGCATAAAAAATGTGAAGAAGTAAAGAAGCAGGAAGTGAAATTGCTGTGGCCTCAGGACTAACCTGCAGGGTTTTATGTGCATAGTATGCCAGCTGCATGTTCCTTCTATAGGAGAAGGCAGGAATCCAGATCAGACTGTCATTGTATGCACTGATGTCCTGCAGGAAGAGGTTGCGAACTCCCCTTTCACTCAGTTTCTTATACCTATAAGCAAAAAGGAAAGAAAATCCTTAACTAGAAAGGTAACGTTTGCAAAGCAAATGCATAATGTTTACCTTTGCATATGGTCTGCTCTGTTAATTCTTACTGAAACATATTTCGTATATAAGGTGGCAGGAGCCTAAATCCCTCCTGCTATTTAATTGCAACATGATGTAACCCAACACTAGTTACCATGGTGACAGGCGTCTGGTTCAGGTCATTGACCTTATTGGTTTGGAGAAGAAGAGGAAGAAGAAACAGAGCAAAAATATGTTTTCGTTCAGTAAACATAAAAAGAAGACATTGGAAGACCATATGATTGTATGATAAATGCACAGAGAATCAGTACTATCGTACAAGTTTAATTTGTGGGGTCATCACACTTGACAAGAAATAATCGTAAAAAAATGAAAAAAGATTTGAGAAAGGACATATGGTAAAACACAGATTTTTTTTCCGAGGGTTGAAAAAGACCTAATTTTCAGAACAAAATGTTGTTACCTTTGAAATCCACAGTAACACACACAGAAGGCACAAACTGCACATCACGGGGACATGTGTACAGCCAACAAAGAACAAAACAAACAAACAAACAAAAGGACAGATTTTAGCAAAGACCACACCGGCACAAAGGACAATATATGGTCCAATCAGGAAGAATAGGGTAGCCTTAGACAGAACTCTAACTTAATTACATGCAAAGATCTTTGAGAGTGTACAGTAGCAAACTTGCCATTTTTGTGAGGCTTTGATGCCAACTGTAAATAAAATTGTCGGTTGGTTTACGAGGAAGCTTTGCTTTCAAATGGCAATCTGACCCACAGTTAGAATAATGTGTATTTTTAGTGTCCTAGAATTTACTAGAGATAGAATTTGCCAAATGTTCCTAGTAATTAAAGATTCAAAATGATTTCATAGATATGAGATAGAGATTTGTATAAAATGTTTCAAGGCCACCCAAAACTTCCAACAGAGCATCACAAAGAAAGTGAATTCAGAATGCAGCATCTCAATTGAGAAAACCAAGACTGACTTTTTTTCTAGGATGCTGGGGTTGAGGGTTATCAGGGAGGTTTTGGACCCGACATCTTCACTGAACACCGCGTTTACTGGAGCCAAATTACATCTGTGGAGGGAGGAAAAGGTGTAAGAAAGGAGAAACATTGTAGGAGATTGTACAATATACCAGGCCTTCAAATACCTCCTGCATACATGCAGATTGATGTAGCAGAATTGGAGCTGTGCAGGTGTTCCTGATCTCTACCAGTACTGGTTCATGTTTGGTTCTGAACATATATAGTATAAGAGTCACAGCTGTTGTATTCTAAGCCCTGATATACTATAGTCTCAAGATTAAGTTAGCTCTCAGAAGCACACTAGTACTGGAGTGACCGGTAGCCATTTGGCTAACAATTCTCTTTCAGTGACTGGCTTAGGCAGCTGGGAAAAGGTTAAGTGAAACTGGCACTACTTAATGCTTGGTGAACATGATAATATCCATCTGAGTATCAGTATCAAAAGTTACTCTGCCATTTTAATGACTGTAGAATTGGTAAGAAATCGACTGCAACTGCTATTGATTACATCATGATCTATATGCACCTTAGTATCAATAGATATTCTGCCATTTCAATGCTTGTATTATAGAATTGATGAGAAAATTGTTATATGTGTAGACTGACCTTATAACAAACTCTGAGGCGTCGATCTTCTTCCCACACTTACTGCCCAGGAGGATCCCTCCGTTCCCCACCACACTGCAGCTCTTAAAGAACTGGCCACTCAACGAGCTGTTCTGTGGGGCAAGGGGAAAATATATAATTACATTGTAGGTCTGTACTCCGTTCAAAGCACCTGTTACAGAAGACCATGATATATATTAAAGGCATCCAACTTCAGGATGGCAAAACAAAAATACTTTGGATGAGGAAATTTGATATACTGCCATTTCTTTGCATATTTTATCTTCATTTCATGTATCTAAAGCATTCGAAATAGCCCAAAACAAGCTATGTGAGGCATCTATATTATTTTGAGTACCACCCATAAATAGCTAGAACCAG